GATGGTAGTAAGTATAGTAACCCGAATTATAATAATGCTGGTGATAACAGCAATAATTGACAAGCTATAATAATATTGATTAAATCAATTGTTTTACTCAGTCGGAAATTATCTTGAACTTATCATTTATATCACTTGTAAAGGACTGAAAATTTACAAGAATATTTACATTTACATACTTTCCTCCAATCTATTTCTTCGATTAACGTTAAGATAAATTATCTTTTTGTCATTAAATGATGATAATGACATGATTATCTTCTTTATGATAATATAATAGCAACGATAACAGTAACAATGATTCTTAATGAAATATTATAGATCCACTAAGTTTTAGATTTGAGCGCAATGGAAAATCATGTCCTGCAATACCTGGTGGGACGTTAAGAAGATGAAATGTTGCTGCTTAGTGGGCGGTAATTGTCTTCCCTCTTTCTTTTCTTTCTCTCACATCCATCCCTTCATTCATTTATCTGTTGTTTAATAAAAGAAATTCATTGAGAATTCTTACAAATTTTCAATCATTCATCAGAAAATAAAATTTTGAAAAACACAATTTGATAAAATTAGACAAGTCAGAAAATAAATATTAGAAATGTTAGTAATAATTATGAAAAGGATAAATAAATATTACAAAATCTTAATAAAGCCGTATATAAATAACATTTTATCGTCGCAATATGAATTCAAAGATCACAATGATAATAATAAAGAAGAAAAAAGAAAAGAAAAAATACGATCTAAAAAATGTAAAAATGAAAATGGCATAAAATTTAGGAAGTTGAAAACTTGAAGTGATTAGAAAATTACAGAAATTAACTGGTAAAGTATTTGAAACAAAATGGAATGATTCATTATTTTATGGGCGTTATAATTGTTAAATTGAAAAAAAAAAAGTTCAATTGAATAAAATGGAATGTGCAGTTAATTATTATCAATGCTATTAAATATTGGCTATTGCTTAAATGATGTAACTATTTTTATCGCTTGTTATCATCTAATTAATCAAACATTATTCATGAAAATAATTAGGAAATAAACAATACATGATAAAATAAGGCATAACCAATAAAATCAAAAAAATTAAAGCTAATATGATTTATTGAATTTGTTAATAATTAAAAACAAAAAAAAAATGTTTTAGTACAAATTTGTTTTTAAATATAAACTTCATTTTCAGGTAATTTGATAAATTTGTTAGATGATAAAATATTTCACAACTACTACTAATGATATTGAAATGAAATAGAAAAGTTTTACCAGCGAACATTTTAATTTATAATTTCGATCACTCATGGAATTTCTCACTAAAATATCATTAATCAAAGACAAAAGAAAATTTGAAATAATTGATAGCTTTCCACCTCTGCTTAGATTAAACTGAAATTAGAAACTATCATAACTATCACAGTAATACATTTTTAAATAGTGTTATTGCAGAAGAATACTGAAAATACAACAGATCGATTGAAAAAAAGAAATAATCAGATAATAGATATGAAAAAATAATTTTGAAAATACAATTGAAAAAAGGAAGTCAATTATGATCTAACTTTTACGAATTTATGGTTATACTATGCTATTATCATAATTAGGAATGTGTGAGAATAAACAATTGGTGATAATTTTTCTTTTGAAATAAATTACCAAAAAGTAATAATTTGAAAAAAGGGAAGTTATAATGAACATTACAATGAGAAATGAGAAATAAATTAAGAGATTAGATTTTTTTCACGTTAGAGTAACTAATTTATTTGTTTAATAAGAATAAAAAAAGGGAAAGGTTTATAAAGTTTCACGAGGTATTTATTTTGTAAAAGGATATGTCTTTTAACTTTTTCTTTTTTTCTTCCTTCCTGCCATTTTTCCTTCCTTTCTTTCTTTTCATTCATCCTTTTTCTTTCAATTTTTTTTGAAAAAATTTTCTTTAAAATAATAATTTTTGTCAAATATATCAAAATGAACTCATTAAAAAAAAAAAAAAAAATGTGGAAATTTTATCTTCAACATGAAATTTTGGATTAAAGTAAACGCAATGTTATAGAGTTAAAAAATAAGGAAAACAAAAAAATACCAAAGTAATATAAACATGACTTTTCACTTTGAAGTATGAATATGACAAATATTTTCATAATAAGATGAAAAAAAATTGCTAATAATAAATAATAAGCGTAAAAATGGTAAAATATGAATATTGATAAAATATCATTAATAATTATACGTCGATAAATCAATACTGTTAAAATAACTTATGAAAAAAATTAAATCAAATTAATTTTGAATATAATACGAGAATAAAAAAAAGCAAATTTTGAATGAGTAAAAATTACAGCATTTGAAGGAAATGAATGGAAACTTAAAGTAAATTAAATCAAATTAAAACGAATTTATATCAAAAATGTTTTGTTGAATCAAATAAAATTGAGTAAATTTCATATTTAAAACTATTGTTATAAACAAATTAACTGTAAAAATTTTTTTTTGAGAAGCAAAAAAAAAGAGGAAAAGGGAAATATTTATTAAACATAATCAGAAAAGAAAAAGCGAAATGATAGAAGAGAAGAAATGATATCAATTTAAAAAAAAAAAAAAATGTAAAGATAGTGATAACAGCAAGAATAGCAGGAGAAAGGGTAAATGGTTGATATGAAGAAAAAAAAGTGGAAAGGTATTTCTACCGCGGAGAAAATGATAACAAAGTATAAGGGCAGGAAAACGGAATTTCGGAAAAGGATAGAAAAAGGAATGGATGAACGGAAAAAAGATATTTCATTGGCAATTAAAATGTATATTGAGAAGAAAAGAACGGAGATAGTTCCGTCTTCTATCACCTTGCACCCATCACCTTCCAATCATGAATGATTCGTCTTCGTTTCGCTTAAATTTTCAAGTTCACTTTTATTCGAGAATTCATTTCTTATCTATCTACTATATCTTCCTCTCTCTCTCCCTCTCTCTGTTTGTTTTTCTCTCACGCTATGCCTATTTTTCTGTCACCAAATGATAAGTGTTAAAAAAAGTTTCAGTTAAATTTGAATTATTTAAAAGTAAAAATATGCTTCCTCAGTGTAATTTGTGCGCAAAAAAAAAAAAAAAAAAAAAAAAAAAAAAGAAAAAAGAAAACCTTTTAATAATTATTAAATGATTTTTTTCTTTTATGAAATATTAAAGATATTTTTCCAAATACATGTGATTATATAGTAATTAAATGTTAAAAATATTTTTTTGAATGATTTTTAAAACAATTGGATGATAACTTTTATGATAAAAACTCATCATCATTTTCTTTCATCGTTTTGTGTTTGTTACATTATTACTTCTTTTTAGTATTACTGCAAATCAGTGATTCTTTATCATTGCTATGCATTGCCTATCGGGAGTGATGAAAATACGATAAGAATTGAAAAACTTTGAACTAAATTTTTCTCGCCAGAGTTTTTGTCAGGAAAATTGCCATATAATCTAACCATTTTAAAAGTTTGTTGATCACATACATTAATTTATTGACTTTATTACTGCAATATTTTAAATGAATTTATTCCTTTTTTAACTCTTTGAACTAAATTTGCATATTTTGAAATTTTGATTAAAATCCTAATAAAGATTATTTAAGTTCAAATTTTAGTCTTATTAAGCAATTTTCACAATTCAAATTTGTGTAGGAGAAATAAAAACTGTTGTAGCTTTTTTTCTTCTTTTTCCGCATTTATCATCACGCATAAGAAAATTTAACATATTATTGGAAAATACCATTAAACCTAAAATTTAATTTCATAACATTCAAATTTTCAATTATTTGAACGAAAAATGAGGAAGTAAAATATTTGTTAACTAAAACAAAAAATAAAACAGAAGAAAAGAAAAGATAAACAAGCTGTACATCAAATGAAACTACAGGAAGTTACAAAGAATTATGCTTCGGAATTGTGACGAATTTTTGATTTTTTTTTTGTCGGAAGCAAAATTTCAAAAGCAAATTTATCCTTTTTCACTCTCACTGAATGATGTGCACTCTTTTCTATCCTACTTCATCCTATTCCATCTCTTCATTTTAGCTTTTTTTTCTTTAAAATTATAATCAAATAATTCATATAGCTTAATCATCTCTAAAACCTCTTAAACCAGAAGCGCACTTTTCTCCAAAAACTATTTTCCTTCTGCTCTTCACAACCTTTCCTTTTATCCTTTTATTATTGAATTTTCCTTTGAATTACCATCAATCGATCTTATTTATCTTAACGATGAGAAAATCATCTGAGTCAATTTTTGATGCCAAATACAAAAGTTGGAAGATGGTGCTTAACATTTAATTTATTTAAAATTTTAAATTATATTTATTAAGTCGGAAATGGAACAAATAAATAGTTAATAAGACATAGTACTAATAAAGAAAAAAAAAGACGGGAATACATGTCATCTATAATAAAATAAGAATATTTCTTGAAGATTAAAAATTGATGCTATACCAAAGTTACATACCAAAATGTCATATCAATCAAATTTCAATTTCATCATATGAAATTCTAATTTAATCACCAAAACATTACACCAAAAATAGAACCTAACAAATTTCTTTAAAAAGTAAACCTCGAAGAAATGCACTTTTAAAAGGTAAACAATTTTGCAAAGAATGAAATAATCAACACTATATATATAAATAGATTTTTTTATTTAGTTTGTTGTTATTTTTTAATATCATTAATGGTTGAAGAAAATAAAATTTCCGCAGTTTTTATTTCTATTAATGGAAAATAAAAGAAAAAAGAACAAAAACTCGAAGCAGATTTTGCTATACATATGGGATAGTTATTGAAAATTATTTTTATCTTATTTGTTATGTAAATTTAAAATCTGCATATTTTGCTGATGATATTTAAGTACTTATATGACCTTCGTGCTGAAGTATTCATATAAAATGCAAGATAATTTATACTAAGTTTTTTTTTTCGTGAATTAAAAATAAATAAATAGAATGAGAAGGAAAAAAAAAAAAAAAAGAATTACCTAACGTCAATAGAAACAGTATTGTTCCAGCATTCCAGTGTTCGTAATGGATGATTACAAATATTGTTGACAAGTTGTCGCCACCAACCAACATATATCGTAAACTGAAAAGTGAAATAGGAAAAGAAATCAATTAGTATTTTTATTATTTTAATTTAATATTAAAGTATCTAAACAACAATATTATTAATATTATTTTTCAACTCAACTAGCTTTTTGAACTACTAAACTCGATATTAAAAAAATAAAAGCTGGGATTAATTATGGTTACTATTAAACTCTATATAAAAAAACTTGTATTAATTCTATTGTCAAGTCTCCATCCCGATAAAAGTAATGCATTCTGTGACTATATTTTTGACATTTGCCCCGGTCAATTTAAATAAATTCTTACTTTCTGCATTATCGATCGTAGCATCAAATAATGCTTACAGCATCATAATTTTCTTGCTTTTGCTGTTTTACTTAATATACAGTATTACATGCGAACAATAATAACATGCTGGAATGATACAGTATGGTGGCAAAGTGATACTGTATATGCTTGGGTGATACGGTTTTATATTTGAACAGTGCTATGTGATGTTTGAGTATCACCAAAGATTTATAAGTGAACCGAGAAAATTATCATACTGAACTCATCTTTTGTACTAAAAATTTTTCAAAATTTACTGAAAATAAACTTTCAAAAATCTGATAAGATAATTCTTCTTTGTCTAATGCTTTCCTTTTTGATCAGAAAAAGAGTTAAAAAGATTAATAGCATTATATAATAGCGCATTTTTTCATATGTAAAGTTTGAAAATATTTTACCAAATCATCACATTGATGCTTATTTTTCGGGAAATTTCGAACACTTCCTATCACTTTTTCTCAAAAAATTTCAACCAATTTGATTGATTATTATCTCGAGGTTAGTTTATAAAGATTTTCTTGTTATACACTGCCTGCTTTGGATTATATTTTTCAAGAAAAGAAAAATGGAAAATTAAAATGTATTAACGGCAAATAAAAAATTTTTAGAGAGGGATAATAGCGGTTTTTTTCTTTTTTTAATATGAAAGATTATGGCCTAAAGTTTTCTGCTTCATTTCATGTGTCGTTTTGATAAATTGTCCTTAACGACATCTTTTTTTTTTTTTTTTTTTTTTTTTTTTTTTTTTGGGGGGGGGAGGGGGGAAGAACTTAATTAAACCAGTTAATGTGATGAATGTGGAAGCAAAAAGAAAGCATAAAATTGGCATCATTGATTGACATATATGATTAAAAAGATTTCAGAACAGTATCTGCGAATAGGTTCAATGAAGAGAGAGAAAAAGAAGGAAAGAAAGAAAGAAAGGTCTAAAAAAAATGAATAATTAGAAAAATCCAGAAATAATTAAAAATGTAATAAAGTTATCTATGAATGTGATAAACAGCTGGAATAATGGTTTACTATTTAATTATCCTATTTCATTCCAATCTCTCGCTTTCACTTAGTTTAAACCATGATCTTATATCAATACAAAATTAATTCAAATTAGTGTTTAAAATAAATTGCATAAATGCTATTCTTCAGAGCAGAGAAAGAAATTCAAGCAATAAATAAAATTCTAAAAATAAATAAAAAATTATTGCATGCGTTGTGTAAAGTAAAACAAACATCGGTGAAACTAAATTATTTAATATAATTATGTTTTAGGCATTCCTGTGACTTATGCTACATCTGTCTATCATCGATTAGATTAATCACTTATTAAGATCAATCACTACGAGTAGTGACAGTTTGCTCAGATAGTAATTTAGCTATTTAATTATTCTATTTCAATTCAAATGTCTTATTATTCTTCTTTTTGTCTAAAAATTTAATCCTATGCCAATAAAAATTTAATTTAAATTAATAATTGAAATAATTACAAACATACTATTCTTTACAGTAATGTTATCACTGCTGTGACATGTGTCAGTCGTACTTTTTTTAATTTATCCCAAAATTTTCGAATTTTTATGATTATATAATTTGCTGTATCAGAAATAATGTTCTTTGTGTAATGCTAACAAATAAATATAAATAATCATTTTATTTAAAATATAGAATTTATTTCGAATTTGAAAGAAATGAAACGAAAGAAAGAAAGAAAAAGTACTGCTCAATTCATGTATTTAGAATTGCTTTTTATTTAAACCGGAATTTTTTTCTCTTAATTTTTCCTTTAAATAAACTATTATTATGGTAATTTCAAAAGCTTGTAAAATAGTATTTGTACTTCGAAATTAGCTTAAAACTTTAAGTTTATTAGTGTAATACATTATCACTTTTCCTTTCTCTCTCTCGCCCTCACTTTCTTTTTTCCCTTGTTCTATTTACATAACATTTGTTTATGCTATTAGCAATACATAAATCTCTTTTCTTCAACTTTCAATGAAAAAAAGAGAAAAATTGTATACAACGATATTTTACTATGTAATAAGATATTTTTCAAAGGGAAAAATGGAATGTGAAGTTTTTCTTTTTTCCTTTTATTTTTAAATTTTGAAATTTAATAAAATTTGCCTTTCGTTTGTTTCCTTTCTATCCACATAACACTTGTTTTTTGTTTTAAAATATGTTTAAACTTTTTTCTTTTTTTGATGTTATCAAATAAAAAAGCAGAAATGCTTAAAATTTTGAAAATAATTGCTGGTAAGTTAATTTTTTTGTATAGAAATATTTTAAAATTGCATAAGTTAAATTTCAATCATTCAATTTTTTTCTAACCTGTCGAATCATGAATACTGCTCGTCGCTGTACAGGATCCGGCTTGTGGTAATCAATATGTCGAATGGTATCTGGTGTTTTAGCAAAATTAATTCGACCACATTTCTTTAGTACTGTTTTAGCAATCACTGGAGCTTTCATTTCCATTGCATATGAAATTGATCGAATGATACCTTTTTCAAGCTAGAAAAGAAAATAAACATTTATTATGATAATAACTATAATTAGTTAATCGAAATAAACGATTTTTTTTCAATTACAGATATTCGATGCTATCTAGTAAATTTTAATTAAAAAATATTTGATTAGTAATTAATTCATTTTATATGATGTGAAAATACTCAATTAAAATGTGCTTTTATTCGGACTAATTATCTCAATTGATATTTTGACGTTTTGCTAAACTTTTAATTGTTTGCATCATGTAAGAGTATTGATTATATTGAATCAAAAGAATTCAAAAGAAAATTCTAACAATTAAAATTAAGCATAAATAGCAATAAGAATATTGAAAGTCATACTTTGACTAGTGATTAATTAAATGCTTCATTTTATTTGAAATGGAAATAATTAAAATGTGCTTTTTTGCACTAATTATCTTAAGAAAAAAGAAGTAATCTAAAATGGATATAATAAATAGATACAATTAGTATTACGATAAGGAAAAAAACAAACATTTGCCATGATGATGACAATAATTATTACTAATCGAAATTAACAACTTTTGCAATTATAGATACACAATCTATCAAATAATTTGAAAAAAAAAAATCTTTAAAAGATGTTATCATGCAAATAATTTTTTTTTTTTATTTTATGGCTTTTTGGAAGCTTTTTCATTTATTATGATTAAAATATACGATCAAAAATATTATTTATAACATAAAAATTCAAAATGACTAATAAGTTAGCACAAACAAATAAATAAACAAATGATGCAAGCAAATAAGCAAAAAAAAAAAAAAAAATTGACTTGTTGACTCATGTAAAAATAAACAAATAATTAGCAAATAATAATTAAATTGAGAAAGAGCTATAAATTAAATGCCAAATTTATTTGAAATATACCTCAGCGAAACCTTTGTCGAAATTGACAGTCAATTTTTGCAAAATTGGTATAAAACTATCCCAATCACTTGCACTTTCATGCAAACATTCATACATTACATGCTTGCAATCATCACTGCAGTAATCGTTTATTTCTTTTTTCATTGGAATACAAAGTGATGAACAAGTTGTCATCATATTTGCATGCTGTATTATGCATGAATTATTAACAACTTCAACTTCCATAGCTAATCTTAAAAAAATGTCAATTAATAAAATTTAAATTGTAAATTAATTTTGTTACTTAAAATTTCAAAAAAAAAAAAATGTGGAAGAAAACAAAAATTTCATTCTAGTAAAATTATACTAATTTTTTCTAGTTAAACTTTTTTATACTTAATTTCTGAAGTTTATTACTTCTATAATGCTTTTTTTCTGTCACTTATCATATTTGATAGTTCGGTATTGTTTTTTGGAATACACTTTGGTCATTTGTTACGCTATTAAGTACTAATAAATCATTTATCATTTAGGTATATATATATTTTTTTTTTGATTACATCCTTGTAATGTTTTTTTAACTAATACTTTATCATATTTAGTATTCAGTATTATTTTCCAACATAAATTTCTTTTCTTTATTTTAAATCAATTATAAATGAAATGCTAACCTGTGTAATTTATCGATGGTACTTTCCATTAAGCGATATTTCATAATTGTTTGCCATAAAATGACACTTATTTTACCGGGTTCCATTCCGAAGAATGCACGCCAAAACGGTGAATTATTTTGCAAGCAGTTAGCATATGACTGTGATACTGATTTACATGGACCTGTTGTTATGCAAAGAAACGTTGGCGGAATAAGTTGAATGAAGAATTTTTGCACCATTTTTTCAATTTCATTCTTTATTTGTTGTGGTGAAATATCCTTAAAAAAACATCGAAATAAGTTATAAAATTTTGTTAAATTTAAAATTTTATAATAATATTCAGACAGTGGTAATTGCTTTATTAGTTAATTGGATAAACTGAAATAATTTTTCATAATTTTTTTGTTTTAGATATTATGCTCCATTGACAAAACAAAAAATGGTATATCAGTTGCATTTCGAGTGAGATAAGAATATGCTGTATTGATCGATTGATTGATTCATTAATTAACCAATTAATTGAAAAGCTTTTAACACAAATAATATCAGAATTAAAAAAGTGATTGCTTTTTTAGTATATTATATCTAAGTTTATTAAACAAACCGTAGTGATGAAAAGCTGATTACGAATATTATCAATAAGGGCATCGAAAGAATCGATTACAGATGATTGACCAAATAGTCGTGGAAAATATTTTGACATTTCTTCAAATAACTTCCACCGACTTAATTCAATGAGATAAGTAATTTCTGCTAAAAATTCAACTTTTTAAACTAACAGAATTAAAACCTAATTATGCATTTAAAGATTTTGTGTCATATGTCTGTCACTTTATGTGCTGAAAATAAATATTATAATTTAACTATTATGTTATATCATGTAAAAATAAATATAAATGACAATAACATTCCTGTTATCATTTATTATCAAACAATGACCTAAAAATTACCACTTAAATTTAAAAAATGTAACATGTTAACTAACCGTTGACATGATGAGCAATATTTTGTAATGTGCTTACAATTCGAACTGATGAAATTTTCAACAATAATAGCAAATAGTCATCGCTTTTTTTGAAATTTTTAACATTTTGTTCGCATAAACAACTTCGTTCGATAACTGCTTCGGTTAAATCTTTTAACGTTATCACTGTTTTATCATTTCCCTTCAAATTATATTAGCTTCCCTCAATCATTTATAAAAGATAAAAAATAAAATAAAAGAAAAGAATTGTTATCATGTGAAATACTATAAATTGTTGACAATGAAATTATTAATGAGATTTTAATTTGAAAGTAATTGGAAAATGTTTTAAAACCCTATTGTAAATATTTAGTTTGCATTTAAATTATTTAAGTTATTCGTTTTTTTTTTTTTTTTTTTGCAAATGCTTACTAAAATTACTTCTTTTTATCGGATTTAAATATAATAATCTATTATGACATGTCATTCAGACGTTAGAATATTCAAATTTTTAAATTTAACTATCGTCAATAGTCGGTGCAATAAGCGGCTTTTTTGGCTCATTTCTTTTTGTGGTATAAACTAATAAAAATGTTCAAATCTTGATTTTTGGAACGCAATTTCAACATTATTTTCTTCAATTTCATTTCATCATTAAATTTGATAAAAGTTAAAATACGCAGCAATTTAAACATCACATGAATGACTGAACGAAATTTATTCAACAATTATAGACGTAATTGGATAACACGAACGGACGTGTCTAACGCCTAATCATATCATGTCATTAAATTTAAAAAATTCAAATATTATCAATGATAGCAAATAAATAAGTGAAAAATAACTCGTATATTTGCTTATTCATTCATAATAATGAAAAGTGTATCATGGTTTTAACTACAGTAAATGTTAAATTAAATTAAATTAAGTTGAAAATTAAAATAAGTTGAAAAATTTTAAGTAAGTAAAAAAAGTAATTAGATTGAAATTTAGTTACAAAAGAAAAGAAAGGCACAAATAATAAACGAATTGATAAACCTGTACAAATATTATTGATGGTGATGATAAGATGATAATACATATGGTTATCATCAATGATAATAGTGAACGGTTGAAAGAAATTTTTAACAAATAACGAAAATATTCCATTATAATATGAATCGTTCGATTGGTTATAGCGGAAATATTCTTTCTTAACAAATCATCAATATCTTATCAGTGATAAGTGACAGTGATTCAATTGCTCATTGCAAATAATAGTAATGAAGTGAGGTTGTGCAACGTATGCTTTTATCGCAAACGAAATGAAACATACACCCTGAAATGATTCATAATTGAAGAAAATTAAAAAGAACTTAAAAAAAAGAAAACAATAATTTAGTTTTATACAATGTTTATAATAATGAAAGAGCAAATAGTTTAGAGAATTTCTTTCGCATTTCATTCTTTGATCATTTTAACAAATCTAAAAATCTAACATTAATGGTTAGTATTCTTTAGTGTCATCAAATATAAATATAAAGTGACATGTATAAAAAAAAAACAGCAATTTTTAAAAATTTTTCAAATTTTTCAATTTTAGTCACTTTTCATTAAAATCTGTATTTGTTCAAATGAATATTGATATTTCTCATTTTTTGCAACAAAAATGGTTTTTTCCTTTTTTTGTAGGATAATTTAGCAAAATTCATTTTTTTTTTACCTTTATTGCTCAAAAATCTTTTCTTATAATCATATAAGAACGATTATGATTCATTTTTTTTTAATTTTCAGAAATTTCCGAATCTTTTTTTCTACTCATTTCTTTTCTATTAAAATAGCATTAGATTTAATCAGGTTAACTAGCTATAAGTTAAGAGTTAGAAGAAAAAAAATTGATTAGTAATGAATTAAAAAAAGTGAGTAGCACTAAACAACCTGGAAAATTCGATTATTTTTTATTTATTGCTTTCATTCGTAATATTTTAAAGAAAAAAAATTTTTTTACTCAATAAATCTTAATTTTTAATCAAAATTTTTTCCGTTTTTTCGTATTTTTTTATTCAAAATTTGTTTAAATGCTTTTTCTTTTGGTTTTTCTGTTCGTTTTTTTTTTCCGTCTTTCATATAAATTATTTTTAATTCTGAATAATTGAAAAAGAATTGGCTAAAGAAAGAAATGAAGTAAAAAGAAAAAAAAGTATATTATTTCTAAATTGAATTCTTTTCTATTTTTAAAGGAATGAAAAAGATGGGAAAATAAATTTCAAATATGTGGCTGACATTATTAAATCAACTTTAGTTGTTAAGCAATCCGATTGAGTAAATATTTGATCATTACTTCTGCATCATTTTTTTTCTTGTTAACAACTTTACATACTAAGTTACAATTTACTAAAATTTTTCAACAAATTTTAACGATTGAAATATGCTAACATTTAATTTCAGCTAATTTATCATTTTAAATTAAGATTAAAATTAAAATATAAAAATGTAAGTTGTAAAATTAATATATGAAATTCAAAATTTGGAAGAAAAAAGGAGGAAAATACATTCATTTTCATTCAAATCTAAAATCATTTTATTTCACGTTTGCTTCACATTAAAATGGCGTCATATAGTCGCCCTCAATTTTGACATATCCAGAAAAGAGGATCAATTGATACCAACTATTATTATTAACCTCAATCAATGATTCATCTATTAATTTGAATTTAAAATTAAGATTTCTTGTGAAAAAAAATTTTATCAAATATGATATTATTTTATATAAAAATCACTGGTATGAAAAAGATTTATTCAGATTTGAAAATTTTACTTTCTTATGTGTTATTGTATTTTATTAATTATTGTACAACAGATATTATCACAGAAACAGTTCAAAAATTTGATTGCTTTTAACATTAAATATTTTTTAGTCAGACGTGAATATTTACATGTGAGTATGCCTATCGCATAAATAGAATTATTTCAATAATTTCATAAATTAATCAATATTTTATATGCATTTGCATATTAATAATATGGCATATTAGATTAGAATAATGATAATATCTTATGGACAATTTGTAACAATAATAATGGTATTAACCTTAATTAATAATAATAATGGTAATAGTGTGAAAGCTGTTAAAAGCTTTTGTTAATTTCGTTGAAACGTAATATCTGGCATATGTAATGCTAAATAATAATAATAAGTGATTGGCGACTATATCAATGACAATAAACATAATAATAATTAGTAGTAGGCGGATAATAATAATAATAAATCTAATTTATAATGATAATGAAATAAATTAAATTACTGTAGTGAAGCAAATCCAATTTATATTTTTAGGAAGAAAAAGCTGAAATTAAAAAGTGCTAAATGAATTAATTTATCGGTTTGTGAATGTTAAAATAATCAAATAATTTAAAAATTACACCGTTATAATTTAGTGGAATTTTAATTTCTTATAAGCATAAATTAACAAAATGATGCATTGGAATAAACTGAAAATTTTCTCGAAATTTGTTTTTAATTCTTTTTCATCTTTCATTATGCTGAAAAAAAGTAGTGACTGAAAATTAATAAAATAGGAAAAAAATTCAAAAAAGTAATTTTTTTGTTTTCTTTCGTTATTTAAAAATAAAAAAAAATTTTCCTTTCATTTCATTTAAATGTCATCTATTTACTGTTTATGTAACGTTGATAAGTCTTTTAAAAAAATCATCGATTTATCGAATATTTATGAAAAAGATTTCAATTTTAATGCCAGTACAAATTTCTTTTCTCTTTATTTTATTTATCAGATATCAGTATGGAACGTCTGATTATTTTTTATTAATTAAATGTTATTGAAACTTTTTTCAGAATCATTTGTAGTTATAGTAATTTGAAATTATTTGAACATTCTTTCGTAATCATTAAATTCCAGCATATTAAAAGTCTCATAATTAAGCAATATTGAAATAAATTGATTGATATGGATCATAAGTGATCAGGATATATTGATTTTAGTAAGCTTATACAAATTTCATTTTCTAAAAAAAGAAAACAATTTCATCTACTTCTTCCATACAGCAGTCTTAAATTCGTCTTGAATTTTAATATAAAGAAAAAAGTTGAAAGCTAAGTTATCAAGTATTTACCAAGAAAAAAAAGTAATTAATTTGTGCTCACAAAACACAGCGAATTAAGAAATTATCTTCCTTTTATTAGTATTTCACAATGAATTATTTTAAAAATATGAAAAATTAAGAAAAAGGAAGAAAATAAGAATTAATTAAAAATTAATAAATAATTAAAAAACAAATAATATTAAAAATATCATCAATTCAAAGGATGAAATGAAATTTCCTTAGAATTTCAATTAATTGAACTACATTTTTTAAAATATATTCATTATTATAATAATAAAACGCTGCAAATGTATTTCTTTTGCAAATATTTTGTTGCAATATAAAAACGAATGTATGCACATAAAAAATTTAAAAATTTATATGACATATTATTTGAAAAAGAGTACACTCTTAAAAGTGAATAAAGGAGAGAGAAAGAAAGAAAGGGAGATAAAAAAAGAGAGGTAATTATCATATAAGTAAATAATGATGAACAAAGTGAAAAATGAATTTAAATTGAAAGTAGCTTTATATATTTTAAAAGATTTACTGACAAAAGCTTCCGAAGAAAAATAAAGAAAAGTTAAGATAGTATGCTAAAACAAACAAAAATTACTAGTTACTCTCTTGAAACAATCATAATAATTTTTCATCCAGTC